GCTCCTACTCCAGCCACCTCTGCCACCATGCTTCACCACCATGATGGACTCCTGCTCCTGTGGAACCATAAGTTAAATAACCTCTTCCTTTTGTAAGTATCCTTTATCATGGTGTTTCTATCACGGTAATGGAAAAGTAATAACACAAAAGGCAATGGAAGGGCAGAGCCCATCAAGAGAAAGTTGTTACAAACACTCCTTGATATAGATCAAATTCCTGAAAGTTTATTCACAATTGAAAAAGTAAATCTGAAGCAGATTTAGAACTGGAAATCATCAGTTATAAACTCAGTCAAGGTTGTTCATATAAGAAAGTGAAAATATAAATAACTATCACCTTTACAATATTCCATGAATTGATCCCAGAATTCATAAAGAAATTATAGGCAGGCTTTGAGACAGAAACATAAGAGCAGAAATAAATAAATCAAAATATGAATAGTATGAAGTAATTATTAGTCATGAATTCTTAAATAATTATGATAAAACTCAAAAAATAATAAACATTATAAGATGGTTTCATAGGAATCTGGCATCTCTGTGAAAATAAAATTGAAATATAGAAAGTGTAACCCATAACTAAATTTTTAATTGAAGTAAGCAAAATGCCAAATTAGACATACTATAAGAGGGATTGTAGAGATGGTTCAACAGTTAAGAGCATAGAGGGCTCTTGTAGAGGTTTCCAGTTTGGCTCCCAGCACCCATGTTGGGTGACTCATAATCACTGGTAACACCAGAATCAGACCTGATGACCTCTTCTGCCATAGGTGCCTACATTCATGTGGACAAGCCTGCGAACAGACATGTAACTAAAAATAAGTAGATAAATATCTAAAAGTTAATTAATGAAAGAGAATTAATTAGCTAGCAAGAAAAATGATAGCCAAATGGATGGAGAAAAAAATATTATGATACAGAGCAGAGATTAGAGAATAAAATGATGTGGCTGGAAAGTGCTAATAATTATAAATTTTAATACTATAAGGAAAAAAGCAGGATGAGCCAATCAGTGGTTGAGAATTATTTGGATAAAACTTTGAAGAACTGATGAAAACACAGCAAACCATGCATTCTAAAAAGTCTGTTACCAAAGAGAAGAATATTTATTCTAGAACCATAGTGAGATATATTGCACCAAAATTGTTGAAAGTCAAAGGTCAAGAAAAGAAGAGGGAGTCAGATCCCCTGGAGCTGGAATCACAGATACTTGTTGGCCCCCATGTGGGGACAGCAAAATCAACCTGGGTCCTCTGCAAGTGTAGTCAGTGCTCTTAACTGCTGAGCCATGTCTCCAGTCCTAAGAAAATAATTAAAATCAGGACATAATGTCCATATATGAGTAATATTAAAACTAGTAACTAGAATAGAAATATAAGGAATGTCAAATCAAAGGAAATAAGTATATGACCAAAATAGAAGAAAAAAAAATCTACTCTCCCTTTAACATACTTTGAAAAGTTAACTTTATAAAAATAATTTATATTTTAAATGATGTATGCTTGTACCTGAGTGCAGGTGCCTACAGAGGCCAGAGGAGGATGTCAGATCCCATGGGGCTGAAGTCCTAAGGGTTGTGAACCATCAGATGTTGTTATTGGGATCTGAACTTGGGTCCTCTGCAAGAGCAGTGTGCACCTTTAACACTGAGCCATCTCTCAGGCCCCAGAAAGATAACTTTGTAAAGAACTTGGCCTGTAGCACCATCTGTCTGCATCAGTCCCATATCTCCCAGCCACAGAGGATTTGGTTCCAGTCACTCCATAATGAGAACCTTGCAATTAAAACAATCTCATGATTTTCTGGTTGCTGTGTGCATATAAAGGTGTCTTTTATACTTCTATGTAATCATCTAATGAGTACATAGCACTATGTCTAAACTATGATGTATATGTGTTCATTGAATATATCTTATTGTTAAAGAAGCTTATGACTACCTGAGTCTTCAGTGAATTATGATATTTTTGCTGATAGAGAATCATGCCTTGAGGTTGGTGGCTGTTTATTAACAATGGTGAAGATTGCTAAAGGTTGGGGTTTCTGTGGCAACTTCTTCAAATGGAAGTTTAGTTTGTCTCACCAACTGATATTTTTCTTCAAAAGTGGCTTTTATGCAGGCTATAGTATTAATCTATAGCAAAAAAAAAAAATCTCACAGTAGAACCAAGTCTCTCAAACTGTGCTGCTGCTTTTTAAATTAAGTTTACATAATATTTTGAGTTCTTTGCTGTCACTGTAACAATTTCAAAGCATCACTGCAAGGAGTAGATGCAATCTCATGAAACCCTCTTTTTCACTTCTCCATCAGAAGTAGTTCTACATTCCTCGATGTTTATCATAGATTACAACAATTCATTCCAATCTGCAGGCCCATGACTAACTCTGTCTCTGAAAATTTCAACCACTTCTGCTGTTATGTTTGCAAGTAAGTTCTTGAACACCTGAAAATCATCTATGATAGCTGAAATTGGCTTCTTCCAAAGTCCTGTTATGGTGATATTCTGATCAGTGCTTGTCTATCACAAAGGTTCTCTCTGGCATTAAGATTGATAAGTCTTTTACAGGAAGGCTTTAATTTTCTTTATGCAGCTACATCAGAAGAGTCAGTATAACAGCCAAAGTCATCTGTAAAATTGTGGGAGACAGACTTAATCCTAGGATGAAAGTCTTATTGACAGCCATACAGCAGGCCCGAGGCAACGACCCAACTGCTGGAGCAACAAGGAATGCCTTGTGACATTTGCTCCCATTGTCAGATCATGAGATTGATGCCTAGAGCTCACCACTCCCTAATCACCACCCTTGGATACCTCACCTTTAAACTACTTGCTGTGCTGTGATTGGACCACTACCCCTATATAAGCTTGTGTCTTCCTGCAATAAACCAGATCTGTGTCACTGAACCTGGTCTCCTGTGTCTGAATGCGGCTCCACTGACACAGTCTCTTCACCAGCCCTGGGGTCCGGACTGGATGACTGATCAGGGGAACTAAGAGAGCAGGAGAGTGGCCATAGCCGGAGGAGAGTAGCCACTTGACAACCACAACTGGCGCCCAACGTGGGGCACGAAGCCTCCTGCCCCCACGGAGCTGTAGCTTGTTGTTCCTGTCTCCACTGATCGTCTTCCTGAACGGTTCCTGAGTCCCTTTGGGTACGTCTTGCAGGGTGAGTGACCTCTGGTATGGGGAATAGTCATCCAGCTGCTGCCAACATCTGCACTGCTGCACTGGTTTCTCTCCTCAGGAGTAGGCAAATTAGAACAATGGGCTTGCATTTTATTCTTGGCCCCGCGTAGAGAAGTCAGGGAGGGACGCCCACAGTCTGGGCTGTTCTACCCCATTGTGACTGCCATTCTGGGCTCCCTTCAGGGGGTTTCCCCCAAAGCCCTTAAACAGGACAATCCCCTATTTAAGGAGATAGGTGGACAAATACAACAATAGGACGCTGGGGATGGCCTGTCCCAGGCATTTCCAGTTAAAACAAAACTAAAAGATTCTTGTTCTGATAAAGCTATGACTGTTAATGATGCTATAAAAAATAAGGAATTGGGGTTTGAGCTCCCTTGATGGAAAACAGGAAGTTAGGGCATCCTCTGCTCCACCATTACAGGGCGGTGTCTACCCTCCGCCATCTTGTATTAGCTTTGATGGAAAACAGGAAGTTAGGGCAGCCTCTGCTCTGCCATTACAGGGCAATGGCTACTTTCCACCATCTTGCACTAGCTTTAAGGAAGTTCCCCTCCAGTCCACTTACCCCTCCCTTCCAGAGGAGGACTGGAAGTCCCTCTCACTTAGGCCCCTGTTCTATGATACAATGGGAGATTTTCTACAGTTCTTCCCAGTTACTGTCAATCAGGGACAACAGAACCCTAATGTCTGGAATCCATATTCTCATGATACCTTAAGGAAGCTGCATAAGGCAGCAACAGAGGATGGCATTCACTCCCCCTGGTTTGGTCAGTTATTACATACAATTAGTCATTCATCCAATACCCCCTATGATTGGCAGAATATCGCCCGTGCCTGCTTACAGGGAGGCGATTTCCTTTTATGGAAAGCTGCTTACCAAGATGAATGTGAACAACAGACAGAGTGCAATAGAAATGCCAATGTCCAAAACATTGGAATTGATGCTCTAATAGGATGCAGCAATTTTGAGACCCCCCAAGCTCAGGCACAGGGACCTCCCTGCTACTTTGAACAAGTACGGCTTTGTGCACTGTGTGCTTTTTGAAGTATGCTGACTTGTGGTGATATCAAATTAACCAAATTGATCCAAAAACCAGGTGGGTCTTTCCCTGATTTTTTTGAGAGATTCCAACAACATATAAATAGAAAGATCAGTCATCAGGGAGCTGCCGATGCCTTGCTCAAGGATCTTGTATATGAAGGCTGCTCTACAGAGTTTCGCCTTGCCATAGGACCCATTAGACACATGGATGTCTCTGATTGGATTCTGGCCTGCCGAGATGTGGGGACCACTCGGGCCCATGCCGCGGCCCTTGCTGAGGCACTGGCTGCTCATCAGCCTCCGGGTGAGCTGGAAAAAGGCAAATGTTGGGCCTGCGGGGGACAGGGCCATTGGTCACGTACCTGTCCTAATAAGACTATGAAAGAGGCCAAAAGGAGCCAGGTTCCCTCTTCAAAATGCCCAAGATGCTGTAAAGGCTTTCATTGGGCAAGAGAATGTAGGTCTAAGGTGGATGCAGATGGTAAACCCATACAAAAGGTGCCTTTAAACGGGCAATGGGGTGCCTCTCAGCCCCGCCCCAAAGAGAGGAAGTAAGGAAATACACCCCCATGTCCAATGGACGATGTCTATTGATTTGCATAAGCCTAGGATGCAACTCTCCCTAGATGACCATAAGTTTAAAGGCCTAATTGATACAGGGAATGATATTACTGTAATCAGACAGGAAGAAGCCTTGTCTCATTGGCACCATAAGCCTGGACCCCCTATACAAGGTGTTGGGGGCTTACAAAATACAGGTCCAACGTCCCATGGTCTGGACTGACCGAGAAGGCAATACAGGAGCTATTAAACCGCTCCTTACTGCAGGGCTTCCCCATGACCTGTGGGGAAGAGATATCCTCTGCAATATGGAGGTTGTTCTAACTACCAATGATAAAGAGAGGGGGAAACATGACGATGGAAGAAAAAAGGAAGCAAAAATTATAAAGCAATTGAAGACTAAACTCAAGAAAGCACAAGAGAGCCAGAAGGAGAGGAAGCTGCTGCTCGACATGTACTGCTCTGCCCCAAAGGAACAGAGAGACAAAGTGCAGTTAATGGCAGCTGAGAAGTCTAAGGCAGAGTTTGAAGATCTCAGACAAAGACTCAAGGATCTGGAGGATAAGGAGAAGAAAGAGAACAAGTAAATGGCTGATGAGAATACCCTGAGGAAGATCCGGCCTGTGGAGGAGCAGATCGAGTATCTGCAGAAGAAGCCAGCCATGGCCAAGCAGGAGGAAGCTCTCCTCTCTGAGATGGGTGTCACAGGCCAGGCCTTTGAAGACATACAAGAGCAGAATATCTGTTCAATGCAGCAGTTGTGGGAGAAGGATGATGCAAATTTCAAGTTCATGTCAGAGCGGATCAAGTCCAATCAGATCCATAAATTGCTTAAAGAGGAAAAGGAGGAGTTAGCAGACCAGGTTTTGACTCTGAAGACTCAGGTGGATGCCCAGTTACAAGTAGTGAGGAAACTGAAAGAGGAGCACCTTCTTCAGAGTAACATCAGCACAGGAGAGAAGGAGCTGGGCCTCAGGACCCAAGCCCTGGAGATAAATAAGCACAAGGCAATGGAGGCGGCCCAGCTTGCAGATGACCTCAAAGTGCAACTGGAGATGGCTCAGAAAAAGCTCCATGACTTTCAGGATGAGATCGTGGAGAACAGTGTCACCAAGGAAAAGGATTTGTTCAATTTCAAACAAGCCCAGGAGGACATCTCTAGACTTCGAAGGAAGCTGGAGACCATCAAGAAGTCAGACAATGTGCAGAAGTGTGATGAGATCCTGATGGAAGAGATAAAGGACTACAAGGCACGACTGACCTCTCCCTGCTGTAATATGTGAAAAAAAAGATGCAGTGCTTACCAAGTGTTTTCATGTATTCTGCTTTGAGTGTGTGAAGACATGCTATGACACTTGTCAGTGGAAGTGCCCCAAGTGTAATGCTGCTTTTGGTGCCAATGATTTGCATTGCATCTACATTGGCTGATGCAAGTCAAGAGAGACACGCTGGCTAGATAGTGTGTGAAGATGTGCTATGACACTCACCAGCAGAAGTGCCCCAAGTGCCAATGATTTCCATCACATCTACATTGGCTGATGCAAGTCAAGAGAGACACGCTGGCTAGACAAGCACTTAATCGTTAACTACCAGCCTCTGCCTTTTCTCTCCTTGACTCTCTTATGGATCTTGCCCAGACTCTCCTCTGCAGTAGCTAGGAAGCTTTAGGGAAAAGGACCCTGCTATAAGGATCCCAATTTTGTTATACAATGAGCTCTATTTATATTAAACTTTCTAAAATTTGACTCCAATGGCCTCCCACCAGCAATAAAGAATTGGGGGGTGTTTAATCAGCCCACTCCTGCTCCCATGGAGAGATGGAAGGACCCTCTCAAAAGTGAATGGAAAAGTCCACACCTATTATTAACACAAGGGTGAGGTTATGCTTGTGTCATTCCAGATAATCTTCCAGCCCCCATCTGGATCCCAGCCCGGAACATCAGAATTGCCTGTGATGGAAAACCTCCCTCCACAACCACTGACCCCAGAGTTGGCAGACCCTAGAGGAAGCAGCACACTTATGTGTGCCATCATTACTACTAACTCCTGATTTTTGGACCCTGCATTGTTAAGGAGAAAAAAGTTGTGGTTTTAAATTTTGCTCTGGCAGCTGCTTTTGGCTGCAGGCGCTTGGCAGGGGTTAGCTCATTTGAATTTTCACTGAACTGGCTTCAGGTGCTGCTGCTTGAATGTTTGGGGGCAAGGTAGAGGGATTTGCCTGACTCTAAAGTTTACAACTTTAGGGATTTTTCCTAGCAGTGTTCAGAAAAGAAAAGGAGGAAATTTTAGAAGAGAGGAAGAGATTAGATTACCCTCCTGAGTGGGAGGGATACTCACGGATTCTAGCGTTTCTGTGGGCACCAGCTCCTAGCTGGCACGAGGTTCAGAGGCTAAGCTCCACGTTGTTCAGAGGGTGCCACAAGGTCAGAAGCTCCCACGTTGTGGCGCCAGATATGGGGCGTGCGCTCTCTCTGGGCGCACTCCCAGAATGGCACAGCGGATCCGTAGGCTCCCCCACCGGTGTGTGCACGCTCTCTGGTTGCAGGCGTCTCTGGCTGCGGCGGGTGCCCTTCAGGCTTTTCCCAGTGGCTCAGGGTCTCGTGTCTCTGGAAGCTTCTCTGCTGCAGGAGCGTTGTCCTGCCAAAATCCTGTCCCTATTCCACCCGTGTACTTTTCCTCAGGATGCGAGGTCCACTGGCCACTGAACCACGCGGGAAGAGTACGAGGACAACGAAAGCTAGGAATGTCTGCAAGTCGGTAACGGAGGAGTGCTGCCCCCCGGGGAGGCTAGATTGCAGGCAGGAGACACAGAACTCAGTCTACAGCTCTTTATTCCAAGTCTCAGTGACCCAGTTCTCGCTCTAGCTCTAAGTCTGCTTCTAGCTCCAAATATTGAGAGAAGACTAGGATATTTATACCATGGGGGTAGTGGTAAAAGCGTTGGCTGTTAGGTACTTTTTGAGACATTCTATTTACGTATGGAAGTGAGTTTCTGCCAGACTGCTGTCTGCCTGAAAATCACAGGAAAGCGTGGTATCTTTCAGAGCCAGAGGCCATGTTTGTGTTTAGAGCAATCGTGGCGGGCACTTCAAAGGGAGAGTCAGGAAAGATGCCAGGAAGGCACCCTGCTAAGAAAGGAGCCCCAGCACATAATCCCGAGCTGCATGAGCTGTCCGGACGTGAAGGGGCTTCTACTTTGCATAACAGAGGTCCCCAACATATACTCCTGTTGGTAGACTATGAGACTGATGCCTAGAACTTGCCACTCGCTAATCCCCATCATTACCCTAGATGGGATGACCCCACTTCATCAGCTTTTATTGAATTCTTAGCCCCTTAAGAGGACTTTGCACAGGCCAAAGCTTGATACACTGCCTCTCCCTCTGCCGGATCATACCAAGGGACTCACCCTTCGAGGGCTGGTAGTCAATGATGGGTAAGATCCCTAGAGATGGGACAACCTAAGACAGGCACAGTCCATAATACTGGGTGACCCTTGAGGTGGGGACAACAATGCCGAGGCAAAGAATCTCGATTCCCACTGGTTGTCATGGAGTTGGCACAACCTGCTCTTAAGAAAGCTTTCCATTTTGAGGGAGGGGGCTCTTGATTCAATGACCCCCTGAGCCATTGTACTTTGCTTAATATATCTGGACTGATATCAATATGCTATGTATTCTAAATTATACATCACCTTTAAAAATAAAAAAAAGGGGGGGAGAGATGTGGGAGGCAGACTTGAGCCTAGGGTGAAAGTCTTATTGACAGCCATACAGCCGACAATATAAAATAATTCTTAGATAATGAGGCTCAGAATAAAAATTATTCTTTGATTTTCAGGGTACAAAATGGATGTTGTGCTAACAGGTAAGAAATAAAATAAAACATCAATATCACTACATATCTCTGTAAGAGTTCTTGGGTGACCAAGCCCATTACAGACTACATTAATGTCTTACAAATGTGAGGTTTCTTGTGCAGTAAGACTGAACACTGGGCTTAAAAGATTTGGAGTGTATGGTTCCATTTATAGATCACAAAGAGCGTTTAATATTCTTTGTTTTTTTTTTCTGTTTTATGAAACTGGGTCTCACTAGATAGTCCATGTCAGCCTTGAAGTACAAATGCTTCTGCCTCAGGTTCCCAAAGTCTTGGGTTACAGAGATGATATATATATATATATATATATATATATATATATATATATATATATATATATATATATATATATATATATATATATATATATATATATATATATATATATATATATATATATATATATATATATATATATATATATATATATATATATATATATATATATATATATATATATATATATATATATATATATATATATATATATATATATATATATATATATATATATATATATATATATATATATATATATATATATATATATGTATATCTGAGCACCATGTAATGTTTAAATGCATATATGCATTACATGATGTCTAAACTGAGTTAAGCATTTATCTCCTGAAACATCAAAATTCTTTCTTTCAGTTTTTTGAAATTTACAATATATTACTGTTCTCTATAGTCAACCCACTGTGCAAAATGACACAAGAACTTCTTGCTCCATCTAACTATGAACTCAGAACCCACTCCTCAACCTTTCCCATGCTTCTCTATACTTTTTTTTTCTTCTTTCATTTATTTCTTTTAAGGGGCTTTGGGGTACTCTAAGGTACATTTTACCTTAGAGTACCCCATTTTGGTGTACATTCCCCCCTGAAAGTAACCCTAAAATCTTTTTAAGTATTAGATAGAAGCTCCCAAATACTTTTGACATTTTGGGCCTTTGGAACAGAGTATGTTGCTAACAGTCCCAAGGACATTTTGACTTTTAGCCAAGAAACTGGCTACTTTTCTTTGGGGTCTTTGTACCCCAACTACCTAGCCAATTCCTGCCTCCTATTCTGAACATGCCATCCTCTGAAGGGGTTACTCAAATTGCCAATAAGGAATTGGGATGCAGACTGCTCTGGCTTCTTTCATGCTGAACAGGGATGCAGGGTGAGGCAACTTCCATAAGTCTATCTAAAAGATGCCAAAATTGCAAAACTCTTATCTCTAAGTGGAAAAGAAAGTCCTTGAATCATGAATAGGAGATGTAAAGGAGAAGTAAAGTCAAGAGTAATTAGCATTACAAGTTCTAGACAGGGAACTAGAAAAAAGTCAGAATAGGGAAATTTTCAAATGTTCATATGAGAGTACATTGGAATTTCTTGACAAGGGCTTCCGAAAAGCATCCCTGTGATGGTTTGAATGAAAATATCCCCCATGAGCTCCAAGTACTTGAACATTTTGTCCCCAGAGGGTGGCACTGTTTTGGGAGGTTTTGGAAGGTGTGGCTGTCCTGGAGGAAGCATGTCACTGAGGGTGGGTTTAGAGAGTTCTTAAGCCATGCAGGATCTCCATTTGCTTTCTTGCTTCCTGTGTCTATGTGATGATGTGAGAGCTTAGCATCTGCTGCTCCTACTCCAGCCACCTCCAGCCACCATGCCTCGCTGCCATGATGGACTATAATTCCCCTCAAACTTTAAGCTCAAATTAACACTTCCTTCTACAAATTGCTTGGGTCAGTGTTTCTATCACGGCAACAGAAAAGTGACTAATACAGTACCTCTATTGGGTTCCTCCTCATTTTCTTTTTGTCTTACAAGGCTGGACTCCAGAGTGATGGATTTGTGATTTGTGTTCAGGTATTTTGATAGCTGTTAGAGTAGTTAGAATTAGTGTCAGTTTCCTTTCAAAGACTTCTAAATAGGGGGAGAAAACAAATTTATCCATCATTTTAGAACAATAGCTGGTTGACTAGCTTAGCTACAGGTGGGCACTATAGTATTGGAGACCAAGATTTGAAGTTTTACATCTGAGAAGCACTTTCTGGTTAGAAACAAAATCATCAATAAGAAATAACTGTGTAGATAACTTTTGATGTAGACTTAAGCCTAATATCTGGGAAGTGTATTCCCTTGAATTCTTAAAAAAGTATACTGATGACTTTACTCTTTGGTTATACTTTCTTTTTTGGTGTTTGAGATTATAAAGT